TTTTTTTTAAACGGTTGCACCCAATAAAATAGCCTTTTTATACCGAGTTCTGGGTTATTCTTGATGGGTCGGGGTAATATCGTGCTGCTGGGTGATAAATACAGGAAGCCTGTGACGTACATAAAGACCAATTCACACCACATACTTGGGAGCCATTTTACCTTCCACAACAGAATGTCCATCCAGTTCTGAAATTCACACAGCCGGATTGGTGGTTTAACTTTGTCTACTACAGTCAACCAATACAGCTCAGTTCCTCCTCGTCTCCAGTCTGTGACGGTGAAGCTGCAACGTAGAGATGACTCCTCCTCCCTCCGCTCAGCAGATCTGTAAAAATTAAAACAAGGCAACTGGACCGGCTGTATTTTTCTTGGATGTTTCGCTGGCCATCCGACCAGCTTTCTCAATTCAGTTGGCTAATCACATGACCAGCAAAACGTCTTCGAGAAAAATACAGCAAGTCCAGTGGCCTTGATTCTAATTTTTACAGAAATACCGTCACCTGGATGAATGAGACGCTTCAGACACTTCTCAGGATGTTCTTTTGTCCACACAGGGTTATTATTATTATACAGGATTTATAGAGCGCCAACAGTGTGCGCAGCGCTTTACACTATCAGACCCCGTTCACATTGAGCGATTTATCGCGCGGTAATTCCCGCGCGATATCGCGCTCCAATGCAATCCAATGGGGCAAAGGGTCGTGTGTCACTACAGCAGGACCCTTTTTGGAGCGGATTTAGCCGCGATTCAAGCTTGCTCAATGCAAGCTTGAACGCGACATCGCGCGGCAAATCTCGCGATGTTGCGCAATATGCAAATCGCGTGACAAACGCGCAAATTGCATATCGCGCAGTGGGAACGGGGCCTAAGGAAGACATGACAATCGCAAGACAAGATGGTAAGGAGGAGGGCCCACACTCTTAAGGCCCCATTCACACTGAGCGACATGAAAATCGCGCGATATTGAGCGACGAAATGTGAACAGCTCCATTGAAATGGATTGGAGAAGCTACATAGAGCGATATCGCTGCAAAAATCGCTCAGTGTGAATGGGGCCTAAAAGGGAGAGGCCAGTGATACATGAGGAGGTAGCTGTGAGGGGATGAATTTTTTTGAGAACGTGATGGTCGAGTGGTTAGGTTGAGGTGGCATAGGCTTCCCTGAAGAGATGAGTCTTCGGGTAGAGTTCAATAGGATGGGAGAGACGCTAGAGAAGTCCTGGAGACGAGCATGGGAGGAGTTAACAAGGGAGCTGGAAAGCAGGAGGTCTTGGGAGGAGGGGACGGTTAGGGTGATACTTTGAGACCAGGCTTGAGATAATTCCGGGGGCGGAGTTGTGGATGGCTTTGTAAGTGGTTGTTAATATTTTGAATTTTATGCTTTTGGGTTATTGGAAGCCAGTGGAGGGATTGGCAGAGGGGGCTGGGGGATGGAAGCCAGTGGAGGGATCGGCAGAGGGGGGTGGGTGATGGGAGCCAGTGCAGGGATTGGCAGAGGATGGAAGCCAGTATAGGTATTGGCAGAGGGGGGGGTGATGGGAGCCAGTGCAGGGATTGGCAGAGGATGGAAGCCAGTATAGGTATTGGCAGAGGGGGGGGTGATGGGAGCCAGTGCAGGGATTGGCAGAGGATGGAAGCCAGTATAGGTATTGGCAGAGGGGGGGGTGATGGGAGCCAGTGCAGGGATTGGCAGAGGATGGAAGCCAGTATAGGTATTGGCAGAGGGGGGGGTGATGGGAGCCAGTGCAGGGATTGGCAGAGGATGGAAGCCAGTATAGGTATTGGCAGAGGGGGGGGTGATGGGAGCCAGTGCAGGGATTGGCAGAGGATGGAAGCCAGTATAGGTATTGGCAGAGGGGGGGGTGATGGGAGCCAGTGCAGGGATTGGCAGAGGATGGAAGCCAGTATAGGTATTGGCAGAGGGGGGGGTGATGGGAGCCAGTGCAGGGATTGGCAGAGGATGGAAGCCAGTATAGGTATTGGCAGAGGGGGGGGTGATGGGAGCCAGTGCAGGGATTGGCAGAGGATGGAAGCCAGTATAGGTATTGGCAGAGGGGGGGGTGATGGGAGCCAGTGCAGGGATTGGCAGAGGATGGAAGCCAGTATAGGTATTGGCAGAGGGGGGGGTGATGGGAGCCAGTGCAGGGATTGGCAGAGGATGGAAGCCAGTATAGGAATTGGCAGAGGGGGGTGGGGGATGGAAGCCAGTATAGGGATTGGCAGAGGATGGAAGTCAGTGCAGTTCAGTCTCTGTTGAGACCTTGGATCCTCAGCCTGGTATCTTTCCCCCATGATCCTCATTCTTCAAATGTTGCAGGAGATTCAGGTCATTGTGATTTTACCTTTCTGGTTGAGACGGCCATATGGTTCCTGCTCTTATGCCAGCCGATGACTGAGGTCACCACAACTTGGCAAATGTTACCGAGGGGTCCCGGCCCTAGAAAGGTTGAGAACCACTGGTCTAAAGAAAGATCTTCTAGCTCGGGTCCTTTGTTTTGCACAAGGAGACTTCATTTCATGGCCTGGCAGTTTAAAGACCCTTCAAGAGGGTAAAGACCCTTCAAGAGGGCAAAACCCGTCATCACCAGTGATTCAGACTCAATCTCAAAAGCCATCTACGAAGTTGTCTTACTATAGGGTAGGATTTTACAGGAGACGGGTTGTAAGGCTTAAGGTTCGGCTGTCTGCCTAGGCAGCTTTAATAGGAGTACAGACAGGGGGCCACGTATCTATTATTATCATTGTTCATCATGAACATCAGGCCTCCAATGAATACAGTGATTCCAAAACTAGACTTCCTCTGGACCTTGACTTATAAATTCCAACTAGATTGGGAAACTTGCTGGCCTTAAAGTTGTCAGATTCATCCCCGGAAGAGCAGAGATGGCCCAGACTGGACTTGTGTTAACTGCTTGCAGTTCATCCTCAGAACAAATCTCTGTGAGAATGATGAAGTCTTTGTACTTCCGATTAAATAAAATGAATGAATGGCAGCAAAGCCGAGAACATCCTCTCGGATAGTAAAAACAACCCTAGTAACGTACTGTAGAGCAGGTCTTCCTTCCCTGAAAGACTTGAAGGAACAATTCCACGAAGGGTATGGTGGCATCATAGGCAGCTTTAGTGAAAGTTCTGGCTCAGACAGTGCAGAGGAGAAAGTTGGAGGTCGTTGAACACCTTCATGAGGCATTACCTGGTTAATGTCTCAACATTCTCTTCAGCATCCATGGGTCCAGGTGTGTCAGCAGCTCTTGGAATGGCCTATTGGTATGCAAACATGAGGCAGCGAGGAATAAGGAAACTTTGTCTGAAGCATGCTGTAATTTTCCATTCCTCATGCGAGTGTAAGTCTCCCTCCCTGATGTTCTGTTACAGAGGGGGGGATGGATCTCTGAACTTAATAACTAGGAATGGAAAGCCAGAAAAGAAAATGAGAGTATCAGATCATTTCCATAATCTCAACGTTCTTAAAGTCCCATCAGCACCAGACTTGCCGCTCAGACTACAGAACGTGTTGGTAACCCTGCCGCACTCTGGCTGGTTGTAAAACGGCCGCACTCAATGCCCGTAGTATCTTGGCTTGATCTGGGATAGTTGGGATCTTTCTCCTCCATGTTTAACCAAGACTGCTGAATTATTAGTTTGAATTTGGTCACATCACCTGTGCATGCAAGTTCTCAGGCTAATGGCATCCTTTGGTTTGGACCCGAGTCAATGGAACCACCTCCCAGTTCTCCGGAGGAAGATACTATCCAGATGGGACTGATCTCCACTTGTGTGGGGCAGAGAGATGCAGCTCTTGCTCTGAAGTCACAATAGCAGAGAGCGCTTGGATTGGGACAGTCTCCAGTCTGGTTCCATTCTCCAACGATGTCACAAGTTTCTTCATTTTCACCCTAGCCACAGACCGGACTGGGTAGGGAAGAGTTCTCTGCTCCCTACACTGGCATATATATAAAGCTACGAGCATTGGACAGTTCAACATCGGATTGAACTCATTCCATGGTGACGGGATTCGGGCATGGTGGGAGCCGAGTGGATAGAAATGCCGGGTTATGTTCCCGACACTCAGAACTGCAAAACAAGTTCAGTGACATGTAACTTACCCTGAATCTCAGTCCGCACATTTGTACTACGTGTTACTCATATTGTCTCACCTGTTAAATTCCGGAGGGGCCCATGAAGGGGAGGGAGGAACTCATCTACAGAGTGTGTGTGGTTTCTTTTTTTTTTAATACATCCACCCCCTTCTCTATCTAGGGAGGGTCCCCCAGCACCTTCCCCGGTTGTCAGGTGGGATGCCGGCCCTCCAGCTGTGGTGAAACCACACATCCCATGATACATCGTGGCTGTGGGAATCTTGCAATGCCTCTGGAGGGCCGGAGCATGGCTAGCCCTGCTTTTAGGACAACATAACGGATCTGGAAAGTGAGCTGAATTGGAGAATGTTTCCAGCTCAGCGATGTTGTCCTCCATTGTTCACTTCTTCTGCCTTCTCCAAACTCTTCACCCTTTATGTGAATAACCCTGATAGTGGAACTTCACACACAGGACAGGAACCTGGCAGACTCTCTATAACCTTCTTCTAGACATTGCCGTTTGGTGCCGATGTTTACCCTCAGCAGGCGGGAAGGCGACATGCATCAGAGGATGTGATTACATCAGCGACCTCCAGGCACCACAATTCACAAAGCTGCTTCTCTTCATACACCTCATATCATTATAGCAACCTCCCCACCACACATGAACCCTTTCCATCAGTTCCAGGTCTCATTGAACCTGCTGACTTATCCTATATACAGCTCAATGTAGATTGGTGGATTCAGTAGGGTAAGAGATGTGATAGGGAATGGTGTATACATTGGGGGAAATTTATCAAAACTGGAGCAGCTGTCCATGACAACCAATCAGCTTCTCTCCAATTTGTTCAGTTAAGATTTGAAAATGAAAGAGAGACGCTGATTGGTTGCCATGGACAGCTGCTCCAGTTTTGATAAATTCCCCTTTGTATATTTGACATTTTTACATTGTCCTTGGAGTCTATACGGCATTCTCAATAAACGACGATGGAGCCAAACAACTAATAATGGAGGAAGAAGCAGACAATTATAGCACCACCCCATACTGGTGAGCTGGCGCTCAGTGCTTACAATTTCAGTGCCAGTAATTCCCCATTACAGACCGCAAAATCATTACTGGCTTTAGTGGGCAACTTACCTGAGATAGGAGCGGTTCCACTGGTGTCACTGCACCGCCGTCGCAGGGCAAGCACTCAGCCCTAGTTAGAGCTTCTGGTGACACCCGACTGGCGCTTTATAGACAACAAAAGCAAGAAATCTTTATTCCTTTCCTGAGGCAGATTATGCTTCTACCTGATGGATCTCACAGAGCAGTCTCCTCTCGGTCTAGGACCAGATCCATGGTCAGGTGGGATGCATACAGAGCCCGCTGTCAATCAGGTTGTAGGGTGGATCCTGACAATATTGTTGGATCCGTCCCGGGTGCAGCGCGGCTCTGCATATAGCAGACAATAGCCCGCTATATGCCGAGTCTTGGGTCACAGGAGGATATTAGTAAATGTCTCCTGTGACAGTCCCTAAGGGGAGGAGAGAAATACACTGAACAGGAAACTGAAACCAGACCCGTGAAATGTGCACAAAATGATACATTTATTGAAAGTTTTTTAGTTTTTTTATTTTATACAAAAAAAAAAAAGATTATGTACACAGTACTGTGTCTTACTTCCACAACTTCTCCGGGGAAATCCCTGGAAAATTTTAATAAAAATGCACACAAGCACAACAAAGAAAAAAAAAGATAAAAATCAGATTAAATCAAAAGCTAAAGAAAAAAGTGAAGCCACCTCACAAAGTCACATCTCCTTGCCCTTCCTGCCATAGAGCATGATTACAGCCAGGCATGCCCTTCCTGCCATAGACCTTGAACCCAGCTAGGCACTCCCATCGTGCCATGGACCCTCTTCCTGCCTGTACCCCAATCCCACACAGACCCGATCCCAGCCAACCAGTCCATTAGTGTCATAGACCGTGATCCTTGCCAGCCACCCCCATCTACAGGGATTCTTGTGTCTGTCCCGGCCCTGCAATCTCTTAGTTACATCCCCTTAGTCTACTCTGGGATTCCATTCCTGTAACACCGCTATCCCTGCTATCTGGGGAGAAGTAAAAAGGATTCATACATAACTCTCCTCATCCAAGCTGACACAGTAACCTGGTAGAGAGAGAGAGAACAGCCATGAATAGAATTCTCGGACATTACTATGTATGTGGCACGTACATGGCTCTCTTCACAGCAAAGCAGTAAAGAGAAGCAGACCTGCAGAAACTCCTGCCTGGGGGGAACAAGTCTGGCATCACCTCAGAACACACCATCTACCCGACTCCATGCAAGACTACACATTGCTGGCTGGAGAATGGCACTTGGCACAACAGGATGAGTGGAAGCCACATGTAAACAAGAGTCACAGCATGTCCTTACAGTGACCTGTAGATGGTGTAGAGGTGGCACTTCACCCCCCTCCCCGGGCAGCAGCCCTGGACATGATCTGCTGGATGAGGAAACCCAAAAGACCCTACAAATATCCTTCAAATTGTTATGACCCAGATTCAAGTCTTGCTTGGGAGTTCAGCAGAAATGGATGTGCACCTGACCAACTGGTATCATATCACAATCTGTAGATGGGGCCTTCAAGGCCAAGGAAGCTCCAATGTGCAGGCATTAATGGTCAAAATGATGTTTTGTCTATGGAAATGGGAGCGGAAGGAGCAGTACAGACACACCCGGGACCAGCTTGTTGAGCAGTGTGGGGGTAGGAGGAGAAGAAAGGTTGGCCCTGGTGTCATCTGGGGCCCCATGGACATTAGATCTCAGGTTACTGATCAGAAGACTCCTCTAATGTCCATGAAGGCTGAAGATGCTGAAATGTGCAGCCATTCATGGTCATGTGACCAATGATGTTGACATGACCAATGATGTTTTGTCTATGGAGATGGGGGAAGAAGGAGCAGTACAGACACCTCCGGCACCAGCTTGTTGAGCAGTGTGGAGGTGGAGTAGAAAGGTTGGCCCTAGTGTCATCTGGGGCCCCATGGACATTAGATCTCAGGTTACCGATAGGAAGACTCCTCTAATGTCCATGATGTCTGAAGATGCTGAAATGTGCAGGCATTCATGTAGAAAGGTGGAGGGGTAGAAAGGTTGGCCATGGTGTCTTCTGGTGCCTCGTGGACATTAGATCTCAGGTTACTGATAAGAAGACTCCTCTGACGTCCATGAAGGCTAAGGGTGCTCAGACGTGCAGGCATTCATGGTCATGTGACCAAATGATGTTGACACGACCAATGATATTTTGTCTTCAAGGGATGGGAGGTGAAGGAGCAGTATAGACACCTCCGGCACCAGCTTGGTGAGCAGGGTGGAGGTGTGGCAAGGTTGGCGGTGGTGTCCCATGGACATTAGAGGAGTCTTCTGATCTGTCACCTGAGATCTAATGTCCGTGGGCACCGTCACCATACACACGGACTGCCATACTGCAATGACAGATCGGAACATGTGGGTGATGAGTAGCTACAGTACATTTCTAATGTACCACATTGTGAATTCATACCCAGAATTTGGGTACCGTGGATGAGAGATAATGCCCAGATAGGGTGGCACATGGGGCGCAGTAGAGCGGACCCCGCCAGGAGTCAGGCATGTGGACAGCAGACTTGACAATCCGTCGCACAGACGCACGATGGCACCGTGTCCTCTCCAAGAAAAGGTTCCAACACTGGCTGGAAAAGTCATGTGACTCGCGTGTGGCCCCGCAGCACTCAGGCGCGGCCTCCATTCATATGACGGTAACAAGTGTCCCTGTAAAGAAATGACATTTCCACCCTGAAAAAAAACACGTCGCCGGCCGCCCGGGATTACAGTACATGTGATCAGAAAGGCTTCGAAATACTGACGGCTGCGATATCGCAACTCCTGTAGTGCCATCGACACGAACCAAGTACAAAATTAACTCTTCGCTGACAGACCGGACAAGCGTTTCACCATACAGCGCGCCAAAGTGGGGGACTGGCAGGGAAGGGTTAAATGACCCTGGATCACAAACCGTTTGCTATAAAAGAAGCAGATAAAAATATCACCCCTCCCCCACCCTTTTGTATTTTATTTTTTTTATACGCAGGAATCTAAAGAGAACCCGCCGCTTTACATAAATACTGAGAATCCACATTTAGAAAAATAAAAAGGATTTGTAGTCCTTCCTCTGCGTTCCCTTAATAAAACTATTTCTCTTCTAGGGGTGGGCCGCCTGAGCCCCCGCGCCAGGGACAAGTGCTCCGGTCCCCCACCCACTACAGGAGCGCATTGTCCTCATCGCATTCAGTGCAATTCACCAGCTCCCAGAATCCCTTGAGGCCACTCTGAGTGACAGCCGATGCCTGGGGGGGGTAAAACAAAAGCCACATGGTACCCCTCCCCCGTGAGCCTCTTATTCTTTGCACACAAGCAAAAAAAGTCTTAAAAAGGGAAATAAAAAAAGTGAAAAGGCATCAATAAATAAGTGTCGCAGTCTGTAATGTGTCACCGTCGGTAATGTGTCACCGTCTGGGGCCCCGGCGCCCCATGTAAAGCAGTCAATCGTTCTTGCTGTTGTGTCCACTGTCCAAATTCACCACTTGCAGTTCTGTCAGGTTACTGCTGCCCGTCTGCTGCCCGATGACCGCCATCTGCAGGACAGAACGGATATTACACGTCACACGTCTCATACAGACCCAGCCAGGAAATCTGCCATCCGTAGACTGGAACGTCAGGCAGATCAATGTGTACAGAGGGAATACCGGACAAAGGGGTTTCATTTCTGTCTATACAGTCCTCATATTTACACAGCTTTGCCACACAGTGCCGGCCT